GTTCGATCCCAAAGTGCCTTTTTGGGCTTATTTTTCCTGAGACACAATAATCATATTCAACAGCCTTTTTAGAAATTATTTTTGCTAATACGGAGGAAAAATCATCTCAAACGAAAACTAAGCCCAAAACAACATGTTCGATCCCAAAGTGCCTTTTTGGGCTTTTTTTTCCTGAGGCACAACAATCATATTCAACAGCCTTTTTAGGAATTATTTTTGCTAATACGGAGGAAAAATCATGTCAAAGGAAAAATAAGCCCAAAACAGCATGTTCGATCCCAAAGTGCCTTTTTGGGCGTATTTTTCCTGAGACACAATAATCATATTCAACAGCCTTTTTAGGAATTATTTTTGCTAATACGGGGGACAAATCATCTCAAACGAAAAATAAGCCCAAACCAGCATGTTCGATCCCAAAGTGCCTTTTTGGGCGTATTTTTCCTGAGACACAATAATCATATTCAACAGCTTTTTTAGGAATTATTTTTGCTAATGCGGAGGAAAAATCATCTCAAACGAAAAATAAGCCCAAAACAGCATGTTCGATCCCAAAGTGCCTTTTTGGACTTATTTTTCCTGAGACACAAGAATCATATTCAACAGCCTTTTTAGAAATTATTTTTGCTAATACGGAGGAAAAATCATCTCAAACGAAAAATAAGCCCAAAACAGCATGTTCGATCCCAAAGTGCCTTTTTGGGCTTATTTTTCTTGAGACACAGTAATCATATTCAACAGCCTTTTTAGGAATTATTTTTGCTAATACGGAGGAAAAATATGGAAAAATCATCTCAAATGAAAAATAAGCCCAAAACAGCATGTTCGATCCCAAAGTGCCTTTTTGGGCTTATTTTTCTTCGCATGGAACCAACCACCGAAGTAGCATTTTCAGATTCCAGACCGCATTTGGATAATTCTTGTCGTCCCCACATGTGAATCATAATAAAAGCGCCAAAGACTTTGAGCTCAATAACCTGGCGCGTAACATTCCACCAATTTTACGGGATTGCGGATTGAACGGATTACCGTGGCAAACGCGGATTGGACGGATTAGGGATTGGGATTAGGCCGACTGCAACTTCGAACACCACAGTGTAAGACACTTGACGTGACCGCAGCCCCTTTTAGCACATCCGTGCTACTCGAGGAAAAAGTGAGGTGACCGAGTCAACAGTGCTGTGTTGTCACCAATTGTGTTTCTGAGCCCAATACGCACCCACCGTGTAACTTCGCTGTTTGCATGGTAGCGGAGCTGTGAGGGTAGACCCTCCGCTCCAAGGATGTGTGCGGGTCGATCCGCCGGCTAAGGCCGAGATCGACATCGCCAATCTCAGCGGGTAGCCCCGCGTGCTAAGGCACGTGGTAAACCCCAACAACACGACGTCCTCAGGACAGGATCACTCAGATCCGAGGAATAGATCCTCCAGTTGGTGGGATCGAAGCTGGCAAAGCCAAGGCCAGTGGTACGATCGCTCTTGGCAAGACAACAGGGATTGGGACAACCGAACCCGATCTGCGCAGCCGACGTCATCTACGGAGACAAGCGGCAGGAGACGCTCGGGACCGACCCGAACGAGTCGATTCACTCAGGACAGGAATCGCCGTGGACATGGATCCGTTGCAGCGACACAGCGCCGGATCGATCGAGGACAAGACCGCCGAAGACAGGCTGAGCAAGCAGCCCAACAGGCGCAAGCAGCGACTCAGACAGAGCCGCAACAAGGAGACACCGCTCCTCCCGAGCCAAGTAGACCCCCACGCGTGTCCACTAGCGAAAGGAGAGCGCGGTCAGCCCCGCCCCCAGGCCAAGCAGCCTTAGAGGCGAACGAAGAGGCTGAAATAAGCCTGGTCCCTCGGAAGGATCGCAGGCGAAGAGACAAGGCCGAGACAAAGGCCGAGCCACAAGAGCCGATTCCAGAAGAAGAGCTGGAAGAGGTTCTGGAGGAGGAGCTACCCGCTTCTTCCTCCGTTCGCGTGCCCACTCCTCCAAGGGCACCGGACGAGCACTATACATCAGCGAAGCCCGGCGTATTCTGGACCAGCCGCAGCCAGAGGTTCCAGAAGAGATCGCAGCCGCGGCAGCTGACGCGCCAGAAGAAGAGTCTGGCAACGAGACAGAAGTTGAGTGGGGAGGTTCGCTCGCGAGCTACTATAGCAGCCACGAGGTGTGCGAGATCCCTGACCTGGAAACCGCCAGGCAAGAAGCAGAAGCTGTAGCAGCCCAGACCAAGTGGCTGGAGCAGCGTCGTCTCCAAGCACCCCCACTGTACGCAGCGGGAGTTGCGGGGAGCACCGCGCGGTCATCCGCCGACAGCAAAGGCCCAGCAGTTGAGGCCGAGCTGAACAAGGCATTGGACTTGTGCGACCAAATCCAAGGGGCTTTGAGCCAATCAAGCCAACAACCAAAGCCACCATCGCCCACGGAGGTGGTGGACGAAAGGCTTGAAGAAGAACGCGATGACAGACCCACAACACATCATCGGCGAGATGCAGCTGAGGATGGATGCTCTAGCGAGTCAGATGCAAGCGTTGAATATCGCCCATCAGAGCCAGGTGCAGCAGAACGCCCAGCTGCAGCAGGAAAAGCAAGATCTGGACCAGCGCCTGACAGGCGTCATGGCACTATTGCAGCAATCCTTGCAGCAGACCGCGAACGTAGGCGGCGCCCAAGGGCAAGTTCCCCCGCTCCAGAGCGCGGGAACACCCGCCGGAAGCAGTAAGCCTGTCAATCATATTGACGTGCTCAAGTCTGTGAAACAGCCTCAATCCTTAAAGGATCGAGACGGATGGGAACGGTTCAGTTTCCAAGTAGAAACATGCTTGGCTTTGCTGGACGAAAATTTTCCAACAGACTTGGACAATGCACACAAGCTCACCAATTTTGTGGATCCAGTCGATATGACTGACGAAGCCAAATCCCGAGGGAGGCAATTGTTTGCAATGCTGAACTCGTGGACCCAAGAATGAGCAGTGGCAAGTAAGATTGCCCGTGGCATTCGAGACCAAAATGGTTTTGAGATGTTTTGAGTTTTGGAGACTGCTGTGGCGTGAAATGGCCCCAGACAACCACTCCAAGAGTTTGATCTGGCGGCGCTCGTTGCTTAGTCCCAAGTTTCCTGCAAAGGAAGCCGAGTTTTCAGCGGCCCTCCAAGAGTGGGAAGCTGACCTTGACAAGTATGAGGCCGAATATGGTCCCAGTAAGGCCATCAGTGATGAAGACAAAAGGGCTGTGGTCCTTACTGAGGCGCCCTAGCCCTGAAACAACACCTTTCCATGCACATTGGAACCCTTTCCACATATCAGTCTGCGCGTGAAGTGGTGGTGTCCTATCTGCAAGCAAAGCAGGTTTGGAGGCCATCAGCCGCGTATGCGGGAGCCACCGCACGCACTGATGCCATGGACATCAGCCTTGTTGGTGATGGCAAAGGAAAGGGGAAAGGAAAAGATGGCAAAGGAAAGAACAATAAGAAGGGCAAAGGAAAAGAGGCCAAAGGAAAAGGAAAGGACAGCCATAGCAACAAAGGTGGCAAAGGTCAACAGGAGAAGGATTTTTGCGCCATATGCTGGAAAACCGGCCATACCACTGAGAAGTGTTGGTTCAACTCAAAAGGCCAACCAAAGGGGAAGGGCAAGAAAGGAGTTGCAGGTATCACTGAAGACAATACGTCAGTGGTCTCTGCAGGGCCATCTGCATCTCAAGTTGGTGGTCAAAGTATAATCACCCTTCCATCCACGACCACGTCCAACAAAGGGAAGAACGTTGGGATGATCGGGGAACACCGGCTTCTCATGGTTAAGGCCACCAGCAGCGGGCAACACCGCCATGTTTCACCAAGGCCATTTTGGCCATACCAGAAGCTTCCACCTTTACTGGCAATGCCATTTTGGCAAAGGAATCTCTTGTAGCCAAGTTGGAAGCAATTTTTGCCTACCAAGACCAACCTGGATGGCACGACCCTGATCCCAACACCAAGGTGTTTGTGGTGAAAGGCAAGAAGGGTGCCACACGAAAGTATGCAACACCAGGGTCACAGTATCCTGGCTATCCGTTTAGGTCAACGTGGCAGTGGGATGAAGAGTCCAACGCCTGGGATTGCAAGGAGTTCAGAAAGAAATGGAAGCTCCTGCATGAGCCACACGAGACGTTTCAAGGCACCAGGGTATGGGCACTTCAAGTCTTCCAAAGAAGTGACACTGCACGAGTGGCCAAGGTTGCCAGCAGAGGCACGCTGCTGGTAGACACAGGAGCCTGTTCTTCGGTCTGCAGACCTGAGGCTTTTCCAAGTGCTCTCTTGAACCCCAACGCCGTTGAGGAACTGTACACGGTAGATGACACTCCACTGAAGGCGTGCGGGGAAATCCGCCCTCAGCTCAGGCTTGGAGACAGGCTCAAAGAAGAAGCTCAAGTCACCTTTCAGGTGGTTGAGGGTGTGAACGAAAACATCCTGTCAGTCAACAGGGCATTGGACATGGGAGCCAGTGTCCACTTTGAAAATGACAACTGCTACATCCAATGGGCAGATGGCAGAAAAGCCACGTTTGCCGGGCAGGGCAAACAATTTCTCCTTCCTTTTGAAGAGTTGGAGCAACCTACCACCAGATATGGCAAGGTGGCAGCCATCGACGGAGCAGATGAAGATGCAATGGCAGTTCAAGCCTATGCCATGCAAGAGGATGAGGAAGCCGAGGCAGTGCAAGAATATGCCAGGCGTGAAGAAGAAGAAGAAGAAGAAGAAGAAGAAGTGAGAAAGGCCAAGGAGCTTCTGGAACAAGACCCCGGTCTCTTGGCAGACCTAGAGGAGGAAGCGGAAGCCCCGCCACCTGTGGAGCCAGAGGGGTTGTCACAACCTATAAGCCCCACTGAGGTGCAGGTGGAATCCCACCGCCTTACACACCTACCGTTTCAACCATGGTGTGAAGAGTGCGTGTCGGGTAAGGCCAAGCAAGATTGGCATAGGAGGGATCAATCCTCAGCACGTGAGGGAACAGGGTTGATCCAAATGGATTACTTCTTTCTCTCTCCTGAGAAGGAGGAAGAGGTTGAAGATGAGTCAAGACTGGTCACAATCCTGTGTCTGACTGACACGGTGACAGGTTGGCCGCTGGCACTTCAACTTCCCAACAAGTCAACCGAAGTAGCCCAGTCCAGGTACTGTCTACAGAATGTGGACCTCTACCTGAAGAACCTTGGGTACAACAAAGTCATTCTACAGCATGATGGCGAGCCCTCAATATCCTTCAATCAGAGCCCTGGCTGAGTCAATCCAAAGACATGTTGGATCAAGCCGAGCCTCTGTGCGGGAGTCTCCGCCCAAGCAGCACCAGTCACAAGGAGCTGTGGAATCCATGAATGGGTTTGTAGCAAGCCAAATCCGAGCTTTGTGGCTCGACGTCAGGAAGCGGTATCCTTCCTTGGACGTGTCCAGCAACTTGACACCGCGGCTTGTGCGCCACGCAGCATGGCTGATAGCACGTTTCCATGTGAAAGGAAAAGATGGGCTTACGCCCTACCGCCTGACAACTGGCAACGACTACTCACACCCAGTCGCCATGCTAAGCGATGTTTAACTGTTACCTGGTTACCCTGACATGCTTAGGCTTATGCCTTGGAACTGGGGTTATCAGGTGTTGACGCTGCCTAAGTACGAGCAGATTCTCAGTCAAGACCTGTGGACCAGAGGCTATGTCCTAGACGTGGCAGCTTCTAAAAGGTTTCAGAGTGTCTTGCACAACGCATGTCCATGCCTGACAAAGATTCGTTGCAAGCAGGACGGATATTACTGTCCAAAGCTTCGCCGACGACTCACTTCTATGGAAATCGGGAGGCTACAGGGCCTACCCAAGACTATCATCACGGCAATGCTTCGGGAAAGCAACAACTTGTCGCTTCCGAAGCGCTCATTCGAAGAGGCCGTCAGGGACGCCATGAACGTCAATGTGCCGCAAACAATGCTGAGACGGCTACTCCACTCGGCAGGGTTAGCAACACTAACGTCGTCACAGAACTGGTGGCTGCTTTGTCCATCAGACAGATGCTACCAGCTGAGTGACAACTTGTGGGCGAAGCACATTGAGAAGATTGATTTAAAATTAGCTGAGCCGCTTCAAGTGTGATGACCACTGCCGCAATGTGAATGAGAAAAATGCTCAGGGTCCCAGGGCTTAAACGTCGGTAACGGTTAAACGTCGCGGGGCCTTACCCGGGTCTGCCCCTGTACTGATTGACCCTGGGTAGTGGGAGTCCAGGTTTCGTACTCTCTTAATCCGAGGCTGCCCTTGGGCAGGGTCGAGTAGGGATAGTGTCTTTTGTCATAGCTGGAGTCCGAACGCTGCGTTCGCACTGCGGCTAAATCAAATGACGCTCGTCTTCCCCGAGGCTGCCCTTGGGCAGGGTTGGGTAGTGGGAGAGTAGGTTTCGTACTGTCACTACCCGGGGTCCGCTGTTGTTTCAGAAGCGAGTAAGTCAAGTCAGTATCCCATACCAATCCTTCAAACAACCAAGTCAGGGTCAGAATGATACAATGATTTACGCAGTACCTGGGTGTAGAAAAGCCATTTGAACTGCACATATGTACGTGATTGTACGTGTATATGATGCACGAAACGTGTATATATATTTATATATATACTGTAAATATAACTCTGGATTATACGGATTATGTTGGATTATACTATACATGTTGTATATCATATATATATATATACAAACTTGGCTTGTGTACATGTTGCACTTCTACACATCCACATCCGTTTGAACAACCATGTGTGACCTACTGAAACTGTGCTGGCTAGGCGCTGTCTTTACGAGTCTTGACGCTTACTGGCACAATGGATGGTATCACGATGGGCCCATTTAACTGGTAGATCCTCGGAACATATCTAGAGAGCTCCAACCCCAAGTACAACTCTTGGGAGGAAACCCCTTTAATTCCCGGTGATTCTGCGATACCGGTATATATATATATATATTATTAGTATATAGATGATACTATGGCCTGAGAGCCTGGTTCGTGAATTTGCTTCAAGAATTCGCTTCAAAACAAGTTAGAAAAAATCGCCACAATAATTTAATAAGACGCTGGAGGGTAACCAGGTAACAGTTAAACATCGGCAAGAGTAGTTCTGGGAAAAGTACCGGCCCCGAGGGGCAAGATGCAGCGAAGGTGGATCAAAGGCATATGGCTAGGTAAGCTGGACAGAGACGACAGCAATGTGCTCGGCACGTCGTCTGGGGCAATCGCCGTGAGATCGGTGAGAAGACTGCCAAAGGAGTCGCAGACCAGTCAAGAGCTGATGAACGACATGAAAGGAATTCCTTGGCAACCCCGCGACGGGATGAGGCACAAGATCAACCGAGAGTTGTCACAGCCAGTGGCACTCCCAGCGCCAGCCGCAGCGGGTCCCACCGCGCTGGCATCAGAGCCCCCGGAGAAAGAACATCCGACACTGGCAGAAGATGGTCAAAACGTTAACCAGGATGGGTTAGTCGTGCAAGCCGCAGCCCAGCTGGAAGACCTACTTGGCGACCAAGCCGAGGACTTCCCAGCGGGTATCCCCACGGACGACGACGACGCGCTAAGCTGGGCACCACGCCAGCAAAATCTGAAGCTGCAGATCCTACGCCGGCAGCAAGGCCGAGCGGGCAGCCTCCGCCCTTCCGAGGTGCGGGATGGTCATCGTCGCTTCAAAGCCTTCCGGACGAACCGATGAGTCCGAGCGGACTTGGTCAAGGAGGGAAGCGAGTGAGAGATGATCAGGCAGCGCTTGCACCGGGACAAGCTGAAGCCAAGCAGTCCAGGCAAGCAGGTGTCTTGCAGCATTTAACAAATCACGAGATCTGGTCCCACATCCAAGAATGGACCAACTCCGAGGACAAGAGCAATCCAATGGCTTTGCAAAGGATAGCCAACGTGACGGATTTCGTCGACCAATTGCTCGACCCAGAGGAGGTTACCAAAGCGCGAAAAGTCCAACTTCAAAAGCTTTGGGAGCGAGGTGCTTTCACCCGTGCACCGCCAAGAAATTTTTGAAAGGTTCACAAATCTTCTCACACAAATGGGTTGACAAGTGTTCCAAAGGAGCATACAAGTCGCGCTTCACATGCGCTGACGTCAAGGCTCGCTACACAGCAGCCGAGGAGGAGGGATTGGACGTGTTCGTCCCAACTCCGACCCCAGAAGCGCACAATCTTCTAGAGGTCTATGCTCTGACAAAGGGTTACTACGCCCGAAGTCTGGACATCGTCGCAGCCTTCTTGATTGGAGCTGACCGAGGAGCCAGCGAAGGGAAGCATGTCTACATGCGTGCGCCAGTTGAATGGCACGACACCTTCCTTGAGTGGCTAGAAACTCTCAGCCCCGAATTGAAGGATTGGTATAAGGAGCCGGATCCGTCTACAGAAATGAGCTGGAGGAAATCCTCTGCTCAAAGGTTGACCCACAGCGGTATGCTTTCTCTCGTGGTGAGAAAGATCCATGTGTCTTCCGCCGTGACAAGTCAGGGATCATCCTGATTCACCACATAAACGACATCTGTATGGCTGGACCAAAAGAGGCTGTCAATCACCTGGTTGAAGTCGAAATGCCGAAACACTGCGAGGTCCAAGCAGGAGAGCTCGAAAGCGAGGGAACAGCTGTTGAGTACCTGGGTCGCACCAAGGTACGAACCAAAGATGCTATCATCACGATACCAGATGAGAAGCACATCAAGGCTGTCATCGCTGCTGCGGGAATCTCCAGTGAGGTTCCTTCCAAACAACTGAATCTCTTAGAAACGGAGCCTCTTGGCGAGGCAGATGCCAAGCTTTATCGCTCGGCAGTAGGATCAGCGATCTACCTGTCGCTGGACAGGAGGGAGATCCAGTACGCGGTGAAAGAAGCAGCGCGACACATGTCGCAACCGCGAAAATGTGACATGCAAGCCGTCAAGACTCTCGCGGCCTACTTGCAATCCCATCCACATGTTGGCCGAATCACAACCTGTGATCCCGACTGTAGCTCAGAGTGGCCATGCGAATTGTTTAGCGATTCGGATTGGGCCGGATGCCGGGAGACACGGCGAAGCACCGACTGTTACATAGCAGTTGTGTGTGGTGCAATCGTCGCATGTGGCACACAGACCCAACCGGGCCTACCAGCGACAAGTTCGCCGGACGCTGAGCTCAGGGGAGTTTCAAGGGCAGCTCGGGAAGCTATCTTCCTCAAGGAGTTGATCACCCGAGATTTTGGCCAGCAGCGGAAAGCCCCGCCTATAGACGGACAGTTCATCGGCATGCAAGCTTCCAAGCGCATTGGACCAGGTTCCAAACTCAGACACCTTGAAGTCTGTGAGTTCTATGTGCAAGGAGCTTTGCAGTCCAAGCAGATAGCCTTGGGCAAAGTCAAGGGCACCGTGAATTGTGCCAACTTCCTCACCAAACACCCAAAGAGTGGAACGGAAGTAAGGGTTTAGGCATGTATGAAGCTCGTGACGGAGAAGATGTGCTTTCTTCGAGCAAGAAGATCTCTGTCAAGGTCTCAACCGTGACCAAGCAACATGCGTGGAAGACTCCTACGCCAGCTTGTGTTGGTTGGATCAAAGACCAAGATCGAGCGGGAAGAACCGCCACGGCCTATCGTCAAGATGGACAACTGGTCGGGTGCATCAAGGCACTTGTTGTCCTGAGCCAAATTCAGGCTGTGGCAGGGCAGCCAACGTACTGCCTGTCCCAATACGAATGGGTATGCATTGTTCTTCTTGGCCGGAATCGGCATTGGTGTGCTGATATGGGCAATCTGGCAACTGGCAAAACAGTTCATCATTTTTGTTTTGGACTGTGGTACGGCCAATCGAGCCAGAAGCTCAAGAAACGGGCCATGAGGTGGAAATGCACATCCAAGATCAGCAGATCACCGTACAACTGGGTGACTGCACAATCAGCAGCTAACGCTGATCAATCCAGCGCCAGCGGCAGCCCCGCGGCCAGAGCCAGCGGCAGACCCGCGGACACCAGCGGAAGCCCCGCAGTCTCCTGAGGAACTCATCGAGGGATCGAGAGGTGGCATGAAGAACGTTGGGTCCAAGAAGCCGCAGAGGCCAGAATGACCATGCAGGAGTTGATCGATTGGCGCAACCAAGAAGAGTCTCTCCTACGAGGAGAACACCCCGACGGCATGTCGGACCTCCAGGACTCCGAGTCAACTGAGTCCGAGGCGGCACCAGCCAGTGCGGGCAGCACCGCTGAACAGCGGGCAGCTCCGCCTGAGCGGGCAGATCCGCCAACCCGGGAACCGGAAAGCGAAGCCGATGCAGCCAGCATCGAGCGGAGCGACCCGTTTGCCCACATGTCTCCAGCAGAACTTGAACAGTGGAGACGGGCTGAAGACAGGTTCCTGGGAATGTAGAGACGTTTCACCAGTAGCGTCTCACAGACAAGTCCACTCTAAGGAGGGCGGCAACTTTCTATGGGTAAAACACCTAGTTCAGGGCTAAGTAGCTAGCTAGGACGGAGTAGAGATGGCATGTCATGTAAGACACTTGACGTGACTGCTTCCTGCCATGTGTTGGGGTTGAAACTTCTGCCTAGCAGCGGGCTCTTGAACTTGACAGTTGATTGGCTCTTGGTTCTGCTCGGGTGAGGTCGCGCGATCTTCACATTTGGAAGGCGGTGCTATTGGGAGTTTCCCACGCTACACCTGTTTATCCGTTGAAAACCGGAACTTTGGGCGAAACCTTGTGGAACTTCATTTTATGGTTATTACCCCCCAGTAGTTTTTGGGCAAATTTTGTTTTTTGTGCGCGCTACACGCGCACATACACACATGCATGCGTTTTTTTACAGCAATACGCGGAAATATTGATGTTTATTTTTTTGTTCATCGTTAGATTGATTGATCGATAGGCAGATGGATGGATGGATAGATAGATATTTATTTTTCTTATCCATGCATGAGAGAAATATATATATATAAATACAAAAGATATATTTGCTTGTTGCCGGCTCTTGGTGACTGCCGCCGTTTCCCACCATGACATGGGTGCCGCCACCTTATCATAGCCAATTGAAGGGGCGGTTGCAATCACCACCAGGGCCGACGTCGGTGTTGAAGATGCTCTTCCAACAAATTTCCAATTCGGTAGTTGATGTAGTTGGTGGTTGAATCATTTTTTTTCATCCATGTCCATGCAGGCTTCAAAGAGGCAGTACGGTTCCCTGTCTACTAGGGGAAGGCCGCAGTAAGTCCCAAGTCTCGTGTTATTAGTATCCATTTTGGTTGGCAAGAGTGAACGATTTTCAGCTGAAATTCATCACCCTGAGCGCTTGGGAAGTGGGGCCACAATGGACCACAAAACGCCACTTGGATTTCGAGACTTGTTTACAAAGGATGTCAATGGCGCCTTGGATGATTAGTCATTGCATGCCGGGGGCCCAGACGTTGGCCAGAAAGGGGTGTTGTCTTGGAAAGACCACTTGGATGTGCCTCAAAATTGAAACCCAATAAGAAGATACAGTTAAACCTTTTCAATGCCACATTCTTTGCTGTTGAAAACATCCATCAACATCCATCAACATCCATCAACATCCACCAGTTCATTTAGTTTCATTAAACCGTTGTACGCTTGCCGCAGGCAACAAATCCTCCGCTGTCTCGGTGATTGTGCATGGAAATGCCTCATGATTGTGCATGGAGATGCCTCACATTTTTGATGAACCCCAGCCAAACCCGAAACCATTTGGATTGGGTTTGATGTTGTTTTACATGTTGAACTTCAGCATGAACGAAGATCAGATTCTCATTATTCAATTGTGTATCTATAATTATCTATATAGTTATCTTGATTTTTAACTTTTGGTTTCAACAGTTGCTGATCCTGAGGCCCTTCCCACCGTCAAGCGGCGCCATGCTGGTCGACAGTCGGCGGCATCCTCTTGGTGAGCGCGGGGCACTAACCGCCAAAAACGTGGAAGATTCGGGGTACCCAACAAACACGGCCTTGGGGGTTCAATCATGTTTGGGATCCGGATCTCAGTGACAGCTGGTGGCATTATGCGATTGCCTACACAAGAAACACCAACTTTGCAGTGGGTGGAGGCGTGAGCTATCCGACAGGACCTGCGAATTCAGGGCTGGGCAGCTAGGCGATGTTGGGCAGCTGTTTTATGCTGTCTTCATGTCGCTGTCAGGGCCATTCCAGGTTGAGAAGTTGTTGATTCCTCTTTGGGGCACCGTGTAGCACTAGCACATTGGCCCGACGGAGATATAGTTATTCGATTCAGCTGCCGTCTACGGCACTCTTCTCCAGCAAGAGGCAAAGGTTTTGAAACCATCAGAGTCCAACTTTGTTTGGCCATGTTTGGTCAAGATTTGGTCAGACTTTGTATCAATTGGTCACCAGATCAGTTTGCACTGCATTATGGTAATTTACAGTATCTCACAACATTTGACTCATACATGTAGATATATAGAGTTAGATAGATAGATAGATAGATAGGTAGATAGATAGAATAGAATAGAATAGAATAGATTAGATCTGATAAGATAAGATGAGATGAGATGAGATGAGATTGGAATGAGATAGGTAGATAGATAGATAGATAGATTAGATAGATTAGATAGATAGATAGATAGATAGATAGATAGATAGATAGATAAGATAAGATAAGATAAGATAAGATAAGATGGATGGATGGATGGATGGATGGATGGATGGATGGATGGATGGATGGATGGATGGATGGATGGATAGATAGATAGGTAGGTAGATAGATAGATAGATAGATAAGATGATATGATATGATATGAGATGAGATGAGATGAGATGAGCTTGGATTAGATTATATTAGATAGATAGATGGATAGATAGAAAGAAAGATAGATAGATAGATAAGATGATATGATATGATATGATATGAGATGAGATTGGATTAGATAGATAGATAGATAGATAAGATGATATGATATGAGATGAGATGAGATGAGATTGGATTAGATTAGATTAGATTAGATAGATCATGATAGATCCAACGATTGGGGACGGGTCCTGAATGGCCAAGCCAGGAGGTTGGCGATTACAGTTCTGGCGGTCGAGTTGTCAGGTTCACCTTTGGACAGGCGGCAAATCAGGGTTTCTATCACTTGGTTTTTCTATCAAATGAATGTTGCCAACTGTGGTGTTTTTGTGGCCTCATGCAGAGATTGCGGAGTTTGTCTGTGTCGGATACATCCTGTTGGATCCTTTTCGATCCTTGCGATGCTTTTGAAATTTCAACAACAAGTTGGAGTCACGTGCAGGTGCGACTTGCAACTTTGACGGGCCAGAAGCACAGCCAATTCACCTGAGGTTCCGGGTACTTCCGTCACAGCAGATGAGCAACCTTCTACTCTTCAACTGGCTTACGGAATGGTTGTTGCAAACATATCGTGCTTTTGCATCGCCAGCTGCCCCGCTGGCCAAGGTAGTGTGATAATGACGACCCAGATTTGGAGTCCACTGACGGCAAAGGCCCACATGGAAACACATGGAAAACCTCACCCATGCTCATCCGTACTCACTTTTATTTATCCACTTTTTGGGTGGACATTTTGCTGGCACATGTCATCGCTGTGTCATGGGACAATTCTTTGACTCCTGTTGTGGTTGTAAGTGGCCCGCCGGCCCCTGACTATCTCAAGAGTTTATGGCGTCACTTGATGGGACGTGTATAGTGTATAGGTTTGAAGATGTTTGGCAAATACTTATCAATGAACATCGATCAAATTCATGGTAACTTGTATTTTTCCCGGTCCGTCCCCACAGCACCTCTTCCTCCAATGTCTCTACCTACGCAAGTGGGAACTGGGTGGTCATCCCCGAGAAGTTGGTGAACTTTCTGTGCGGCACAGGGCTGAGATTGTTTTTTGAGGCCATTATTTTTCAATATCTTTCCTAGCGCCCAGCACTTCGCAGAAAGTTTTTTCAATAGAAATCATGTTGGAAAGAATCTGTATGGTTTGCAGGTATCCATGGACGGGGCTTATTTCTACCAATTTCCTGAGCCGCTAGCCAACATGCTGGCAAACATTTGATGATATACAAGGGATGTATTTTTAATGTTTTTTTTTTCTAGGTTTGGTTTTTGTTTCTAGCCTTGGGCTTCACCTTGCCTTTGGTTTTTCGGCTTTTGGCTTTTAGGCTTTTAGATTTTGGCTTTTGGATTTGGTTTCACTTTTCTTTTGGCTTTTGGTCTGGCTTTTGCGCTTTGGCTTCAGTTGGCTTTTGCTTTTTTGGCTTCACTCCGGGCTTTGTACCTTATACGCCCTGGCCCTTCTGTTGACACTAATATGTACTTTTGTAGTTTGCACATAGCTACAACCTTGCATATGCGCTGCATGTAGACTACATGTAAGCTGCACAGAAACTATATACATTAAACTGACATATGGAACATGAGTTAACATGCATGCTTGTGAGAGGAATTAAACTCGTTTTCA